AGTCCCAGCTACTCGGGAGGCTGAGGCAGGAGGATCGCTTGAGCCCAGGAGTTTGAGGTTGCTGTGAGCTAGGCTGACGCCACGGCACTCGCCCCCAGCAACAGAGTGAAACTCTGTCTCAAAAAGAAAAAAGAAAAAGAACTGCCCCTTAGAGTTAGCTCTCCCCTCCATCCTAAACCTGATCCAAGTTACAATGAAAGCACAGAAAGAGTTGGGAAAAGTGAGCTGGGAATAAGCACTTTGATTTGTGCATTCAGAATGGGAAGATTCTGAACATTTCTTAAATTTCAGTGTCTAAATTAGGGCTTCAAAGAAGTGCCAAAAGCTAAGGGGAGGTAAGCTGGAAAAGGCAGTAAAAAATACATAACAAAAGTGCATTTTTCATTTGGTTCTTTTTATTAGAAGAAATTGAGAATACAGCAAGTAGGGAAATCCCACGGTGAATGAACCATTACACAGATGCCTTTCTGGAACCCCAACCTTCTATGATCCCCAAAAAATGTGCTTTGTGGCTTCAGCAATTTATAAAGGGGAAGGGGGAAAATATTGAAAAGGCCACTATTTAATGATGAAAGAATGAAGCTGTAGAGGTCCTAACAAGCCTAGGGCCAAAAAAGAAAATTAAAAATCTGCACAGAGCAAGCAAGCCTCTGACTGCTGAGAGTAAGGCATTCAGGCGCCAACCTGGTGAGAGTTCTCAGCGAGCACTGTAAGGTCAAGTGCACACGGAGGCTGTTGGTCATGAGCTGCACACAGACACACACACACAAACGGGCACACACATACCCACATACACACCCGAAAGAGGGAGATTTTTACTGGATTCCACATTGGTGATGGTAATTTCATTTTTCCGAGGGGTTTGTGCTATGTTGAACCAGATTCTTCCTGCTTTGGGGTGTGGGTGACTGGGCCCAGAGACTGCTACTTCTGTTGGTGTTACCACAGGGCTGCATCTCACACCCTGCGTCCCAAAGTGCATGGCCGAAGAGCAAGTCTGGCTTCTGATATGTGCTGTTGCTCCCGTGAAACCAAGTGAGCTTCCGTCTAGACGGCCACTGTCCTGCCGGACCACACTTTCTCAAAGGGATTAACACTGCTCTTTATTTCGTCAGGCACTGCCCCAGTTTACCCGCTCAGTCTCTTCTCAGACCACCGAGCACCCAGGGCAGTGACCTTATCCAGAACCAAAATACTCTTAAGTTCTCCCCACCTTCTACATTGGAGTCCTTCTTCCTGGATCCCAGCTTTTGCTGGAGATTAAAAGGAGAAAGAAAGGAGAAAAATGACTAAGAAAACTCTACTGCATAAACAGGAGACCCTTCCCATATTCCCAAACACCCACTGAGGATGCCAGCCCCCAGCCAAGAAAGAGCCTCAATGTTTAGTTCCAATACCCACAATCCCCAGGATGTGACAGAGTCACCCCAAGTCTTTGATGATGGTAACCGAAGACTCAAGTGCCAAAGGTGGTTCACCTATAAGCCAAGAATAGGATTCTACGAACCAGATCCTTCCTCCACCGCTCTCCCTGACACCACAGCAAGGGGCCCTGGAACGTGAGCAACCATTTTGTACTTCTAGTAGCAATTCAAAGACACAGCCTTAAGGACTCTACCAGACTCTCTGGCAATAACATACCATTTCCTCCTACGCTTCCTAACACACCATCCCTGCAAAGTGGGGCTCGGCGACAGCTGCCAGCTCCGCAGTGGGCACTGGACTCCGCTTTCCAAGAGTTCCACTGGGTTTCTTGTTCAAAGAGAGCTGAGGTGTCTGTCACACCCACGCTTACCAAGACAGTGTCCCAGAGGTGAGACTCATCCTTCCTAATCCCAAAGAAGGGTTCACTCAACTTACGTCAAAAGAGGAGACACGTGGACAAGCTGGAATCTCATTTGTGGCTGGCTCCATGCCAGGAATTAAGATGCCAGGGAGAGGTCAATTTTTATTCCCAGAAGGAAGGGCACTTGGGCAGGGAACAGAGAAAATTTACAGGGTGTTCCAGAGATCCATAGCAAGGGTATGGAAAACTGTCACACTTCACTAATGAGAATTAGCCACAAACTTGAGCACAATGCCAGGAAATCGCCAGATCAGCCCACGCTAACGTTTCCGGAGCTCCTTCACTGTCTGCACCACCCCTTTACCAGCATGGATGGTAGAAGCAGGTGGCTCTACTCCTTAGAGAGGGTCACTGTCAGCCTACAAGTCAGTCTCTCAGATGACACCTTAACCAGAGCCTTTATCTAACACATCCTGCCAGCCAGTCATGTTCTGTTTCCACTGGGAAAAAATACACCATTTTCCTCAGGACTCCCAAAGGCTTGAGAGTGGTCATGTGATCACTGGGCTGGGCTCTACTCTTCACCCCACTTGGGTCCAAGGTATGTCAGCCTTTAGAAGGCACCTTGATGTACCAGATACTGTACATTCGGGCCATCACCTGATCCTCCTACAGTCACTTTGTGCAAAATTGAAACAGTGTATGGTACTTGCATGTTTCATTCTATACAAAAATTCTCCCTCCCTCCCCTACCCCTATGTTTTAAACATTTATATAAATTCTTATTTAAACAGTAAGTTAGAAATCTTATGTACATCAATTTCTTTGTTCTCCCAAAAGAGCATCTAAAATCACACTCCCACCCATTAATTGGATATAAATGTTCACCTAAATTGGTTTGTATTATTGTTTTAGGGAGAGAGAAAGGGAGAAGAAAGAACCGTCAGCTAAACTGTTTCCCCATCTTCTACAAATAAATATCATACGGATCAGAAGCCAGTTTGCCAAGGGTCTTGCAGAGCCCTCAATCTGGAGATCCCAAGAGTAAGTCAGGCTTTGGGCCATTTCTCCTTTTCTCCATATCGATGCACTCCATCCTTTGAGGTATGATTTATTTTGTTTTTCTCTTCTCAGTCGTGTACCACGTGGAGCCCCTGGGCTGTCACAAAGCCCAAGAGGCTGTCCAAGTTTGGGGGCTCCTCTGGTACTGGCATGAGTGGCCGGCAGGGAGGCCCGCAGGTGCTGCAGGCCCAGACTCGGGTCAAGTCCCTGGCTCCTGGTAGGTGTCACAGTGCATCCTCCTCGCTGCAGCCCCCGCCGATCATGAAACGGAACTCCTGCAGGTTTGAGACACCATGGAAGTGAACAAAAGCTCCAGCAACCACAAAGATATGAAACAGCTGATGAGAGTGAAACTGGAAGGAAAAAAGAGGAGGGGGTAGAGAAATCCATACATTATTAAGACTGCTAAAGGGTCTTAGGATCGTCTAATCCTGGTTTATGCTGAGCAGAGGGCAGGGAATGGATGTGCCAGCTCAAATTCAAGGTGTCTACAGATCCTGGAACTTCCATCAGGCATATCACATTCTGCTGAGTTGAAAGCCAGCCGTCCCCAAAGAAATCAAGGTGCTGTTGCTAAGCTCTAGACATGAAAATCTGCACACTTAACACTGGAACTCAGTGGCAAATGACACACAGACCCTCTTGCCAACAGAACACAAAGGTCCCAAGCATCCCTTGACACCTAGCAGTGGGCTATGGTTAGACACAGAAGCCTTTTCTACTCTTTGCTGCTGAGGGTTTGAGGAGGACAACAGTATTAGAGCTACAGCCATTTAAACGTTGCTCTTGGTTAGCAAAACTAAAGAGGTCTCCAGGTCAGGTGTAAGGTCACAGCATATGGTCCCTAACATTTCCTTCAGCTCTAAGACTCTGGAATTGTGTGAACTACATAGCATATCAAAAGATGAGGCAAACAGGGCTTTTTACCCCCTTCTCAGAAACTGGTCTACAAGTATGTGACATTATTTCTGATTTTACTTGTTCTGTTGAATGCTGTTTCACATCTCAAGAAGGATAATCAATTGCTCAGTACACTAAACATCACTTCAAAAATTATACTATTCTCTCATTATAGTCTCAAAATGAAAAAGTGA